TTGTACTCCTTCAACCTGACAAACAGATTTTGCAAGTGATCAAGGTATTCTTCTTCAGTTTTTGATCGGGCTATCATGTCATCTACGTAGACCTTTATCTCATGATGTATCATATTATGAAACAAAGCTACCATGGCGCATTGATAGGTTGCCCCGACATTCTTCAGTCTGAATGGCATCACTTTGTAGCAGAACGTACCCCACTGTGTGACGAAAGTAGTTTTCCCCATGTCCTCGGGTGCCATTTTGATCTGGTTATAGCCTGAGAATTCATCCATGAAAGAAAGTACTTTGTGTTGAGCTGTGTTGTCGACCAGGATATCAATGTGCGGAAGTGGAAAATCATCTTTAGGGCTGACCCTGTTTAAATCTCTATAATTCACGCACATTCTCACTTTGCCGTCCTTTTTAGGCACGGGCACAATGTTAGCAACCCATTATGGATAGGAAGTAACGGCCAGAAATCCAACATTGAACTGTTTCATAACTTCTGCTTTGATCTTCTCTGACATGTCAGGTCTCATGCGGCGGACCTTTTGTTTCACTGGTGGACAGTCTTCTCTTGTGGGTAGACGGTGTACCACAATGTCTGTATCAAGTCTCGGCATGTCTTCGTATGACCAGGCAAAGATCTCCACATAATCATGCAATAGCTGAATTAGGAGCTCCTTAACACTAGTCTCTAGATTGACACCTATCTTGATTTCCTTTTTATCATCCTCAGTACCCAAGTTGATTATATCCAACTGCTCCTCATGAGGCTGAATTGCTTTTTCCTCTTGTTGTAGGAGTCTGGCCAATTCCCCTGGCACCTCACAATCTTCCTCACCTTCGTATTCGGCTTGGTAGATCAGATCTTCAGAGTCACTGAAGGCTATAGCAGTATCGTTACCCATGGGATCCGGAATGGAAGGGTACCTGCATTTGTGAGTGTGGGTGTGTGTAAGGGATAACCATCTTAAAACAACAAAATGTAAAAGAAAGACAATGAGCACAAAAGGTTTAAATATGAAAAGCGTCCATGATTCATTAAATGACATATGAAAATGAAATAAGAACCCTTACAAATGGACATATGTGCCTCGGGTAAGACACAAGGTTGAAAAAGTACGAATTGTTTTGTGAATTATTACAGATCCAACAGAAATGGAAAAGATAAATTATTGTGGTATGAAAGTAATCGGAACAAAGTCTTTTGCTTCCCAGTTGCACAACCCTCCGCCGACAGTAGGAAATATCCAATCTTCCAGGCTGCCCTCTTCTTCATTGTCCTCTAGTGCATTAACCCCTCAGTGGCTGATCTTCACAGGTGGCCCTCCGGCACGGGAGCGACGCACAACCTTCTGACCAGTCGAATTAAACCCCAAGCTGAACTTTTCTGATTTGTAAGGAATATCTGGAAGCTGACCCCAGATTGTGCACCCCCCTTCTTCCACTACTGCTCTTGCATCCTTGAGAGATGACATCCGAGGTGGAGGTCTCGTGATCATAGGAGTTGAGGATACCGCCTTGGTCGCCGCTATTTCTTCAGAGACTTCTTCAAAATGTTAGAAAAGGGGTCTCTATGAATTCACCATCTAACTCCACATAACGGAAGGAATTCAAATGACTAATCATATATTCCTCTTCCCCATGGACAGTTATGATCTTCCCTTGGACGGGTTACTTGAGCATCTGGTGCAAGGTGGAGGTGACAGCTCCAGCATTGTAGATCCAGGGGCGTCCCAACAGACAGGAATAAGAAGGATGGATGTCTATCACATAGAATGTCGAGTTGAAAACCTGAGTTCCCACCTTGATTGGGATGTCCACCTATCCATGGACCATCCTCTTAGATCCATTAAAGCTCGCAGCATTATGTTGCTGGGTTTTAAAGTCAGCCTCTCACAATCCAACCTATCAAGGGCTTTCTTTGGAAAGACATTTAAAGATGACCCAGTATCAACCAAGACATGAGCTAGGGTTGTTCCTCTGCACTCCACTGAGACATGTAGTGCATCGTTGTGTTTTCTCCCTTTGGGGGTCAAGTCAGCATCGGAGAAACCCAGGTCATTATCAGCTGTTAAACTGGCCACACACTCCTGGAATTGATCCGCAGACGTCTCTTGCGGTACATGTGCTGTCTTCAGAAACTTGACCAAAGCTTTAGCATGTGCCTCAGAGCACAGTAGTAGGGCTAACATAAAGATTTTGGAAGGGGTCTTCCCCAATTGTTCAACAACATCATAATCACTTTTCTTTATGATCCTCAAGATTTCTTCTATCTCCTTCTTGGATATTTCAGGAATGACTAGCGATTGAGCCTTCGTCAGGACAGGCTCCTCTTGAACATTCTTTCCTTTTTTTCTCAGCAATGGAAGTAGGGATAGGAATTGCATTTTCTTTGTCAGTGGGTACACTTGTAGGTACAGTCACTGGTGTAGGGGTAATCTTCGGAATAGCCACGGGTCCAAAGACTGCTGTTGGAGGAGAAATCTCTGGAGAAAAGATTCTTCCAGTACGGGTAACCTTGCTTGTTCCAGCAATGTTACTGATGTCAGAATAATCCTCTTTGGAGCTTTCTTCTTCGGCAGTCTGTTCAATCTGTTTGACACCATGATAGTAGATTTCTCCACCATAGTTCCATGGTATCATTTTATCTGATTTGTATGAGGCTGGCCCGGGCATTGTTATCTTTAATGGAGTAGTCATAGGAGCAGATGTAATCCTAACGGGTTTTTTAGGAACCTTAGAAGGATTGGCGTATATGGTTATTATTGAAACTTATGGAACTGAAATGGGTGAGATAGGAGCTTTCTCAAACAAAATTTCTTGGTTATCCATCAGTCGCTGGATACCCTTCTTCAACAGAGGACAGTCAAATGGGGAGGATAGGCAGGTATGGAAATCTTAGTCACAACCTGGGAACATCCCAGCTTTCAACAAATTCAACTTGATGGTTAGGAGAGGAGTTAACAGTTCATCCACAGTAGAAACAAACAGATCTTCTTCCATAGCACTGGCATTGTATCCATGCCTAGGCATCAGAGCGGAGATAACATTCAGTTTTTCCGGTGCTTCAAATTTAACTTCCTTTGCGTTAATCAGATCTTGAATCTTATTCTTCAGAGCCCAACAGTTGTTGGTGTTGTGCCCTGGACTTTTTGAATGGTACGCGCATCCGGCGTTGGGATGGTAATATGGAGAAGCAGTATTAGGATTCTTAGGGGCCTCTTTTAGCATGGCCAGATTCAACTTCAAGAGATGTGGTAGGACTTGAGCTGGAGTCATGTTTATCTTGCTGAATTTCCTTACAGGCCTTTCCACCCTTTGCTGGTTATTTCTCGGCTGATGATTTCTCGGTTGGTTGTTTCTTGGCTGGTCTGATGCATACTTTTGAATCATAACGGCCCTCACAGTTGGTTGGCGCTCAGTTCTTCCCTGATTCCTCTGTATATAGACTGTAGACACTTCCTTCTTTCCAGTGAAGGGCTTTTTTACAGTTGCAGAGGTAGACGCGTCTTTCTGAATTTTCCCGCTTCTAATACCGGCTTCCACCCTTTCGCCAGTTAGAATCAACTCAGTGAACCCTGCAGAGAAACTCCCAATCAGATGGTAAAAAAAAGGACCTGACAGAGTTCCCAGGAACATGTCCACTATCTCTCTTTCAAATAAAGGTGGTTGCACCCTTCCGGCTAAATCCCTCCACTTTTGGGCGTAGTCTTTAAAGCCCTCATTGGAAGCCATAGCCATACTCTGTAGCTGAGTACGGGTTGGCGCCAAGTCGGTGTTGTATTGATAATGTTTATAGAATGCTGCTCCCAAGTGTTCCCAATTATGGACATCATCCCTCTCCAACTGGTAGAACCAATCAAGCTGGGTTCCTGATAAACTATCCTGGAAAAAGTGGACCCACGGGTCTTTATCAGCAGAATGTGGTTGAATCTTCCTGACAAAGGATCTAAGTTTCATTTTTGGGCAAGAAACCCCATCATACTTAGCAAATAGTGGCACTTTAAACTTAGGAGGGATTACAATTCCAGAAACCAACCCTAACTCCTCAAAATCCAGCCCCGATACTCTCTGTATCTCCATAGCAGCTAGACGTTCTTCCAAGTTTTTGTATTTGTCATCGGTCGGAGGGTATTACTGTTCGAGTAATCCTCTTCATCCTTTTCCTCTGCTTCAGAATCTGATGGCACTGCTGTTCCTTTTCCTTTTCCTTCCCCCTCTTCAGATGTTGATGGGAATTCCAAGGTCCGTCTAGCTTGTCCTTCAAACCTTCTGCCCATGATAACCACACCGGCTAGCTTCTTCTTATTTTTCTCTTTCTCCTTCTCTAGCAGAGTCTTAAGCTCCTCCTGCCCCTTGGCTAAGGTCAAGAGTAGCTGTTGAAATTGTGAATTCTGAGCTTGCAAATCTTTGACCGTTTGTTCAATATCCATCTTGCTGAAATAAACAACAGAGAGATGAGGAAACTTGGTGTGAAGACCTGTTTATGCATATGATGAATGATATGTATTCATGTAATGCTTTCAAGGATTCAGAAATTCAAATTTGTTTTAAACAAAAAAGAAACACACGTCATATTAATAAGATAGAATTGTTAGTACATCAATGCCCCTTGGGAAAAATAATACAAAATTCTAAGGTAAAAAGACGTTGTGCATCCTCTTTGGTGCAATGTAGGTGTTGAGAGCCTGCTCTTCGTGAAGTAGCCGAGTGAGTTCTAAAACCTTCTTCTCGCTTGCATAGAATTGGGCTTCGAAAGTATCACGCTCTCCCTTGAGCTGTATCCAACTCCTTTGTAAGTCTTCGAGTGATGTTGGCATGTCAGGATGTAGGAGGGTGTATGGAACCTCTCCTTCTTTAACATGCTCTATAATCACTGGGATAATGGAGGTGTAAGGCATCATAAGACTTTGGGCACGGGTTCGTACCCACTTGAGGTAAGGCTCAAGGGGGATGGAATTCCTGTGTCCCAGAGTCTTACTGTCTACCTTGTTAGGCATTCTCCAAGCTCAGATGAATCTTTGTCGGAGTCCTTGGTCGTCGTTGTCGAAGTCAAAAACTAATCCTTGAATCAACATATCATGTGGGCCATCCCTTCGGGCATAACCAAACTGTCTTAGAGCCAAGCAAGGGTTGTAGGTGATGCCTCCCCTAATTCCAAAAAGAGGGACATTAGGGAATTCCCCACAACGGTTAATGATGATGACATTCTCTTTGGATCGAGAACACCAATGAATATCTGAATGGTTAAGTGTCATTAACCATTGTGACCACCTCAAGCCTTGCTCATTCTTCAAGACTGATTGGGGAAGATGAGAAATAAACCATCTTGCCAGGAGAGGAGTGTAACACATGAGAACACCTCTTTTCCTCATTGTACGAGTGTGAAAAGAGTGGAGGATATCCCCAAGCAATGTAGGCACCGGGTTGTGAGTCATGAAGATTTTGACAGCACTCACATCTATGAGTTGATCAGGGTTAGGGAACAAGACCATCCCATAGATGAGAAGAGCTACAATCTCCTCAAAAGCTTACAAGTCTAGAGAATTCCAACAGCTTTGGGCCTTCTCAAACAAGAACTTTGATAAGAAGCCTTTGACACCACTTCTAGTTTCCCAATGTGTTATGACATCAGATGAGTGCAAGTGCAGGGCTTGAGAAATATCTTCTGGATTTGGATCTCTTTCCGTACCGTTGAAGGGTAGTTGATTGAGAATAGGAATCCTCAGAAGTTGAGAGAATTCTTCCAAAGTGGACACAAGTTGATAGTCAGGAAATATGAAGCAATGATGCAAAGGGTCAAAGAACTGGAAGAGAACCTTCAACATATCCTCCTTTGTGTTGGAGGTGACCAAGTTGAGTAGACGACCATGTCTCTCGGTGAATGGATAGTTCTCAGGAATCCTTGAAGCTAGCTCCTTGAGTTGTGGAGGAATTCTTACAAGGTTGACTTGGACAGTTTTCCTGCGAAGTGAATCCATAACCTACAAAACAAGAACAAAGATGAATCTCAAAAATCCTTGAAATGGTTAGTGGATGCATATGATGTTCATGATGTCCATGATGTTATGCACAAGTATATAGGTACAAGCAAATCACATAAGTTTCTAGTTTAGGCTTGCATGGGGTTTCATAGGTAAGTACCCTCTTGAAGTTTAGTTGGCTCAACCTGTCCTAGAAATAGTAACCGGGTTCTAAGGAGCTAAATATCACTGGATTGCTTCCTTGTTCATTGTTTCAATTCAGCCTCTTTACTGGCGACCGAAATATTCCAAGGAACCAATCCTTAATGAGTGTAGTATCGAGTATCTACCAACTTCGGACTGCACCAAAGCCGGTCATCTCACTACATCCTAAAAGGCCAAGTTGGTCAAGTAAAGGTTCTAAAAGTTCATTAGTGCTTCATGACATCACTCAGCGGCCCCGTATTCTCTTTGATTGACTCAAATGCTACCGGTACCCACAAATATGTCGCACTAATATAGCTATTGCTTAGACCATGTCGGTATACCCCGCATAGTTTCCACAATGTATTGCTATTTACCTATGAATGTTTCCCAAATTCGGGTGGAGGATTCAAAACCAAACAATAGAACCAAGATGTAAAACAAACAAATCAAGCAATTGTAAGCAAATAAAGGTGATCTAAACCCTAAGGTAACCCCACTTTTAAAAATCTCCCCAGCAGAGTCGCCAGTTCTGTGATGCGGTGGGAGAACTGACTTGAGGTTTTACGTTTGTGTTCGCAAATGTTGCGGTTAGCAAGAGTCGCCACCGACTTTTATTTTATCCAAAAGGAAAGGTAAAAAAGCATAGGAAAGACCTTTAAAATGTTTTCTTGAGTTCGGGGGGTACATTATGAAAAGGGAAGGTGCTAGCACCCTTTTCATCCATGGTTTTCCATGGGCTCTTAGTTACTTGTTTAGATCACTTGCTTTGCTTTTGAAATTGTTTGAAATGGTGCTTTGTGTGGTTTTGAAAGTATTTTGAAAAGAGGCCATCGTTTAGGCAATCTTTGTAATGATTCTCGTTCGTAAGAATGTATACAAAGATGTTTGTCTTTTGAAAAATGTTTCAATGTTTTGAAAGGTGTTTGGAAATGTTTTGAAAATGTGTGTGTGTTTGTTTGAAAATTAGCAAGGATTGTTTTGAAGTTGATCAAGTAACTAGAAGCTATCTACCTACTCAAAAGTCTTTCTTGTACATTTTTATTCCTTTGACATTGTTGATTTACCATTGATTTGGTAAACAACTCTATCTTTGGATGTTAAACGGGACGGGCGTGGGTCATTGTATGACCATGATAGCAATGTTGCCAAGTATCTTAGCAAGTTTTGAGGGACCAAGATCATTTGTTTTAGGCAACCTTTTGATAGCGTCATCGAGGGACTATGATCTTATTTGTTTGTTTTGCTTTGCCAAGATACTTTGCATGCATACCATGACCATTTTTAGGCAACAAAGTGGGTGAAACCCTAGGGGTGCTTGTGTGCAATGTGTTATCATTTTACATGCTTTTGTTTGTCTTGTATTAGGTCATTCTATTTGTTTGATTTTTGTCTTATCATGCAAAACCCTAGTTTTACTAAACATGGTATAATGCGATAAATTGCGTAAAATAAAACTAAGCTATTACAACAATTATTATGGGAGGGGGGATACAAGTTTTTGAATGGGGATATTTTCACAAAATAAAACCCTAAAATACTATTACAACCCAATTGAATTATTGTACAAGATAAATAAATATACAAATATTTAAATATGCCAATAAAATATATTTATGCAAAAATGTCTTGTATTAATTTTATGTATGAAAAAATAAAATTATTTAAGTCCTAAAAATAAGAAAAATAATATTGTTATTTTTGAAAGGGTGAAACCCTTGTTTTTTTTTATTAAAAGAAAAATATATTCTATATTATTTATTTTATCCATTTAAGTACAAGAAATAATAAATAATATTATTAACAAATATTTAAAAATTAAAATATGTATGAAAATAATTATTTTATGTGTGAAATAATAAAATAAAAATATATAGTATTTTTAAATTGTATTTACAAATTTATTTAAGAAAATAAATTCTATAAACCTAATAAACTATTTTTTATGCCAAAAAATAATAAATAAAATAAAATAAAATGCAAAAAATAAAGAAAAATATTTTTCATGATTTTTTTGGTTTAGAAAAAAATATTAAAGTCAATAAACATAAAAAATATGAGAAAATATGCAAAGTATAAAAAATATGCAAAGGGGTGCAAATAGTAGTCAGAGGGGGTGTGGAAAACAAAATAGAAGGCCCAAGCGCGCCCAAGCCCAGGCCAGGTCGTCCCTGTCCTCCAGCCAAACATCATGCACACGCGTTTTGCCTTAAACCTGTAACTTGTTGTAGCTTGCATAAAAATGAAAACACATAACATAAAAAATGTAGCTTATAATCTCACGATTCCAATTATATAAAATTCATGACCTAACTCTCAAAGATCAGGGAGAATTTTAATGGCCCTAAATCGTGACCTAATTTTTTCAGCATGTTCAACATTCAAATTCTCTTAGCTCAGTTAATATAAATGGCAACTATGCATATGTACAGCTTCACCATGCTAGAGACTACATTTTGCTTCACAAATCGTGGCTTGAGGATGCTTAAATAGAGAGATAGAGTTTTGAAAAATACCTCCTTCAGCTGGATTTGGATATGGCAATGTGGGGACTTTGAGTGAGGCCTGAGGATCGTGTGAGCTTCCTTGAAGTTCCTTCAAGCTTTTCCAATGCTTAGCTGGCCTTGTGGATGGCTGAAACTCCCTGTAGAAGTCAAGCTGCAACCTTCCAAAGTGAAAATGGCAATGGCTGAAACAGGGAACACAGTTGCAGTGCAAATGCTTAGATGGTTTGGATGTGATGTATGGAAGGTGTTTGAAGTGTTACAAGGCAAAACGCACGAGCAAATATTAAGTTGGCAAGAGTTTTGCAGAAGCTGGATGTTTTGGGCAGAACAATGAGGTTTTTGTATTTGGGAGAGTTTCAGATATTGTGCATTCGTGTTCTAGCTTGAGATAAGTTTATGAAGTTGTTTTGAATAAGGCCAAGTCCACTCTTTAACAGATGTGCAAGTTCTGACTTCTTTTGCAACCTTTCTTGTATTTGAAGAAAAGTGAAGTGACTTGTGCCAAAGGCCTGTACTTGCTTGCTTGCTAGCTGTAGAGGGTTGGTATGCTTTGCTTGATATCTGTGGACATTTCTTGTGACAAAATAACAGGTCCAAGGCTCAAGGATAGCAAAGTTGCAAAAAGCTTGATTTATGAAAATGACAATGTTTTATGCCATTTATGGATTTATTTCTTGTACAATGCTCCAAAGGTCAAAATAAAGCCATTATCCCCTGAGTTAGAATTTATTTATGGAATGTAGAAGGGGTTTAGGACCTGTAATGCAAGGTACAAGCATGCTTGATCAGATTTGCAACTTGGTGCATTGTGAAAATGGATTGAACAAAAGTGACAAAATGCCATTTTCTCTTCTTCGATTCTCCCTAACCACAAATGATCTTGGAGAGTTCTTGGACATTTTGGAAAGCTTGCAACATGATATACAATACATCTTTGAAATCAATTTTGAGATACGTCTTGGAACTAGGTGAAAAATTCCCATGAAGTTAGGTCAAAGACCTGCCTAAATTAGGGCAAATTTTCACTAAGTTAAAAAGTTTATGGACCCCTATTCACAAAATCATATCTTGAGATCCAAGCATATTTTGGGAAAACTTTATGAATCAAAGTTGTAGATTTAAAGTAGAACTACAACTTTTATGTTGGAAGTTTTCTTTGAATCAAAATGCATCATGGTGAAAAAGTTGTGAAAAGTTAGGAAAAAATAAGAAATTTTCCATACTTAGAAAAATTCTAAGTTATGAAAAATTTTCAAATCAAAACCCTAATTTGTAATTTTAGGTTTCTTGGTCAACAAGTTTCATATTTTGACATATCTTGATGAATTATGACCTTTGGCACTTGATTTTGACTAAAAAGTCAAAGTTTGACTTTTCAGTGTACAGTTGACTTTTAATCAGTTGACTAGAAAATTCATCTGTCAATCCTATGCATTTGAGATCTTTTGAACTATGTGATTAGGTCAAGATGATGCTATTGAGTCCTTGAAATCATGCTTCAACCCAATTGGCCATTGGTTAGGTTAAAAATCAGAAATTGCCCTTTCTCAGTCGAAACCCTAATTTTGACCATTTTGCCCTTTTGATGATTTGATCAAATTTCTTGAGGAGTTATGATCCAAACTTGATCAAATGGTACATAGGAGCCTAAAATGTGATTGTGTATAAAAAATAATGAATTTTGATTGTAAATTGGCCATGGTTGACTTTTTCCCCAATATAGCTGATTTTTAGGTCAACTGTCCAATTGACTGGGCAAAAATGTGATTCAAGGCTTGAAACTTAACATGGGAAATCTTAGGGGTCCAAGATGGTGTATTAAAGTCACATGAAGCATTTATGGTTCAAAAATCCTTGTGCAAACTCAAACCCTAATTTCAGGTCATCAGTGCAAGGTGATGTCTTGAGCTGACCAAACCCTAATCTTGTCTTGAGTCCAAGAGGTCTTGTGAGGAAAATCTTGATAAATGAGAGGGAAAATTTTGGGGTATAACAGAGGTTTCTTGGGACGCCTAAACTACATTGCCAGGTTCATTTCCCATCTGTGGTGCGGTGGGAGAACTGACTTGAGGTTTTGCGTTTCGTTCGCAAATGTTTCGGTTTAGCAAGAGTCGCCACCGACTTTTTATTTTATCCAAAGGAAAGGTAAAAAAGCACAGGAAAGACCTTTGAGATGTTTTGTTGAGTTCGGTGGGTAGATTATAAAAAGGGAAGGTGCTATCACCCTTTTCATCCATGGTTTACCATGGGCTCTTAGTTACTTGTTTAGATCACTTGCTTTTGCTTTTCAATTGTTTGAAATGGTGC